GAATAGGATCCCAGGGGTAGTTAGAGACACAAGGGGTACGGAACAAGGCAAAAGACTTGTTGCTCACACCAAGAGCAACAAGTGAGGAACTCCTAAATAAGGGAGAAGGAGAGCAGATTGGCTGCAGCCTTGTGAGACACCATAGGCTGACAGCCCAGAAACAGGGAGCAAAGCGAAAATCCGGCACGGATTTCTGGATATTGTGACAAGAGGTCAGAAGCAAATAAGGCAGAGTGCAGAGATCAGGAGCAAATAATACAGAGTGCAGAGGTCAGGAGCAATAATTGCAGAGTATGTACACACACATCTGCATTATAGGCATCATAAACCTGTCACCCAGCACCCTTATACAGCCTGCTGTCCCCCTGGCACTGCTATCCCAACACTTAAAAACACTTTAAATCTAGACTGATAGACACTGATGAACACAATGTGGTTGATTTACTAAAAAGACTGTTCACTGAGCAAAATAAATGTTCATCTTGGAAAATGTACCGTATATACTCGAGTATAAGCCGTCCCGAATATAAGCCGAGGTACCTAATTTTACCAAAAAAAACTGGGAAAAAGTATTGACCCGAATATAAGCCGAGGGTGGGAAATGAGGCAGCTACTGGTAGATAGATACCAATAAAATTACATTAATATTTATTTAAAAGAAAAATAACCTAGCTCTGTAAGTGGAAAAGGGGGTACAGGGCTACATATCATGTACTACGGATCATTTAACCCATTCATATTAGCAGAGGATAATTGTAAATCTATTGTTCAGTGCATTCTATATGTAGTATATAGTACATGTACATATAGAGTGCCTGCAACAATACATTTACAATGATCCTCTGCTAACATGAATGGGTTAAATGATCCATAGTACAGGGCTACTAGACATGTGCACTGCCAAAAAATTCGTTTCGTTTCGGACGAAATTCGGTAGCGTTCGCACGAACGTTCGTTTCGTTTTCTGTTCTTATTCGTTAATTTGCCACGAAAATGTTCACTTGTCTTATTGAATAAGTTGGAACTATGTTCACTTCAATCATCCAATTATATACACGCAAATATCCCATTTTTTTAAATTCCCTTGCACAGGACTGGTTATTAAAAGTGAACATAGCTTCACCTTATTCACTAGCTAAGACAACATTTTCTGCTTATTTAGTAAATCAACCCCAGTGTCTGTCAACTGGTGTAATAAAACACCCTCTGCACTACATAAAGATTTTTCCAGTAGTTCAGGGGTTGGTATAAGTACATTTGGACTGTGACTGTGTGCATTTATATGGGGACTGAAGTCTTTTGTGAATTCTAATATATTTTTTTTACAACAAGAGTTTTGATATTTTCTAGATAAACATTTAAGAGGACATGGAATTTGACCATGCCTATATCAAGGACTCTGCCTCAGATCTGAAAGTCTATCCTGGTGTAAATAAACTGCAGTTCACAAATACTCAGAGCCTCAGCCTAGCATGTAACAGTGCTCCTCGTCTTTACTGCTATAGCCATCCTTCAGGTCCAGGATACAAAGTTTCGCGCACCACGGCCAGAAAAAAAAAAAGGAAAAGTGGGACTTTTGGCATAGAAAAGGCCAAATAAAATAAACAAAGCTTTACTCACTGCAGGTCCAGGATGTCCACTTTGTCCAGGACGGTGGTGGCCTCTGAGTATTCAGCTAGTGGTCCATTGGTGGCACTGAGACAGGCAGGTGGCTGCTTGCTGTTGACATAGCCCAGGCTCCCACAGAGCAGAGTGGGTACCAGGTTGGGTAGGCAAAGTGCGGCGGGCTGGGACAGACATGTGCCCGGCTGATGCACTGGAGGAGGGGGAAGAGGCCGCAGCATGTGTGTGCTGGCATTGCAGTTGCTGACAGCACTGGCTCAGTTCCCACGCTGCTCATTCTGCATTCCCCACCAGCTTGTTCCCATTTTTCACAGTGTCGGACCTAAGGAACAAAGGGCCCTGGTGCAAGATTTTATTCACACAGAGAATACCGAGCCAGTCACATTAGATTTTGTACAGAGGAGCTTGCACTCTAATGCAGAATGGCACCGGCTGTAGAGGGACTACAAATCCCAGTAATGCATTATACAGCAATGCAGAACAGTATATGAATTGGACTCAGGGCTTAGTAATGCATAGGACTCAGGACTTAGTAACGCACTGGACACGGGGTGCCGTTCCTTGCATATGCAGCTCCTCTTATCTGCCATTGCTGGGCCCCGGCCTCCTCCACTACCAGACCGACGCTGCTAGGGGCCCGGGCCCCCAGGTGGCCCTTACCCCCCAAATGGTGGCCCTGATTCTGACACATGCCTGTTTCAGGTCTGTCATTCAAAAATATTAAAACCAGTACCAGCCAGGCAAATTTCAGAAGGCGGTCAACAATGGCAGCCTTCATACTTGACATGTATACTTTAGGTGAATGATCCAAAACAGTTGGTAAGCAATACTTTTATTTTCATTTCTGAAGTTGCCAGGATAGGAAAACGTTTTATTGGGTTACCGTTGTAGGGTTTCTGACCTGTGTATATTTTTGTCTGTGTTTTCCCGATGCAAAATTTTAATAACAATACAAAATAATTAATACAAAACACTTCAAGTCATCAACAACAGTGTACATGTTTGAGGGGAAGAAAAAACTGTGATGTTAGTCAAATATTTTGCAGTACTGTTATTTTACTTTTTTGAAATGTCTACTGTAAACCCCTGCTCAAGCCTAGAACAAACCACTGTTAAGCAGAACAAAGCAATTTTATTTAATTTTGCCCAACTCCAGAAAACATTTTCATTGTAATGTATAATAGAGTGGGGAAGATTTCAAATCTCTACCAGGTTTTTGTAATGTCTCCATTGTGAAAACCTCCTGTTCCTTTTTGTTTTGCTACCAGTCACCAGGATAGAAAGTGAAGGAAATCTCGTACTAGAAACACAGACATGAATAATAATTTAACAGATGATTAAACTCTTCCCCGTTATATTAAAAATATATTTTGATTGCTGTCAAGGTTTTCTTTGAGGGAATTACCCCTGTTATTTCTTATAGTTGTCACAGATACATAATTGAAAAATGTTGTAATCCCTCCTTATGCTATTTAAATGTAAGAACAAATATTTGGGTACTGTTAGGTTTAAACCTTTGATTGTACACTACAATACTAGACTAAAGCTGTGCACAAGCAGAGTTTTCTGTAAGCATAAATGACTAAGCCAGCCCATTTCACCCAAGGTTCCATGGAACCCTAGGGTTTCCCCAGAGCCCTTCTCCACTGAACAGCAATTTAAAGAAGCGTTATACTGACCACTAGTGATGGACAGATACCAATACTAATATTTGGGCAAGTACTCGTCCAAATGCACTGATACTTAACCCGATACTGGAACTTCTGGTCAGAGGGAGATTTCCTCTGACCGGCAGTGCCACGAGGGAACATGGAGCCAATCAGGAAGCTGGGCCATGAGTCATTACCCGCGGCCTGGGTTCCTGATTGGCCAGGAAGCCAGCTCCTTCCTGTTTGACCAGAAAGACAGTTTCCCAGCCAATTAGCATCGAGCCGGCCAAACAGCATGGAGCCGGCTTCCTGGCCAATCAAGAAGCCGGGCAGCGGGTAATGACACACTGCACGGCTTCCTGATTGCCCGGGAAGTCAGCTCCATGCTACCGGAACTACCGGTATCGGTACTCAGAATCACCGAGTACCGAAATATAAATCCCTACTGACCACCATTGTACTCCAATGTAAGGGAAAACAAACATTTTTAGTACCTTTATTATTATTTATTTAATTTCATTTTACTGACTGACAATAATGGTCATAAAGAGTGGGTGTCAAATGTGCAAAGTATGCTGCATTGCTTATTATTTTATTTATTTTTATAGTTTAACTTACTGTTCACATTAATATACTGTGGCTGTAAATATTATAACTATTAACAGGGATTACCTGAGATCTTCCTCCATATTAAAAAGGTTGGGAAAGGCTGGACTAAAGTAAATAAATTATCCTTTAAGGTTAGGTCAAGCTTATCTATTATTTGTCACTTTTGGTTATTAATACTTGATAATAACCACATTTCAAGAATACTAATAGACCCATTTTAAAGAATTAGTTGTCTACATCCCAAGTTGAGCAAACAAGAGGTCATGCAATGACCAAAACACTTAAAGTTGTAGTCATGTAAAAAAAGGCACATTTACAAAGCACAGCAATGTGTTTTACAAATATGCAAAGCCCCTTTCTTTTTCATGAATGGGGGAAAAGTGCCGGGAGGAGGAACATCTGGTCACATGACCTGCCCAAGTCATGTAATCAGCTTGTCCTCCTATCATGGAGTGTTTACTGCAGAGTTATTCAGAGGATACTCTGTAAAATACCACAGGCTAAGTATCATATAGCAGTATCCAACCCTTTGTTATAATTGTGCGTGTTATGGTCACATTTTTTAATGTATACGAATTCTCCGGGTTTTTTTTACCAGGTTGCAGTCCAAAGTTTGTTTTATGTTTTTACAAATGACACTTAAAAGTTAGCTACATGCAATGTATTAAAAGGGTCAGTCAACACAAAAAAAGATTTCACTTGGTGCTAGATGCTTTAAATATCCTTTTAGTGCCTCATATTTTTAGAGAATTTTAGTGGAGAAATCCAAACATCCTGATTTACCCACCTACTGCAAGTAAGACTAGAAGTCTTACCTCACTGGAAAATTTCCCCTTGTTGTAACAAGAGAAGAAAGTCTTCAAGGTAAGGGGGTTGAAGAAAAGAATGCGTGTAAATCTTGCAGTTTAAGACCTTGAAAGATATCAAAACCATTGAGCAAAACAGCTTACCAGTGTCCAATTACAACAGAAATATCTATTTGGTGTAGACTGACTCTTGTGGCGACTCATTCATTCCATTGTCCATTCCATTTTCACCCTGCCAGCCATCCAGTTGTTTCATAGAAAATTATCTGCAGCACATAAAACAGTATGACTCTTTCCAATATATTATTTGCAGGGCTGGACTGATATTGAAGCTGATATTAGTAGTATGAACTCCAGGCCAGCCAGTAGGCAGGTTTCTTATGAAATGGGAAAAGACACCACTGAGCTCAATGACATAAAATCCAAAGCTAAGCTGAAAAGTCATGATTCGGGAATTTTTGAGAAGGTAAATGTACATACTGAAATTTTCATGTTCATATCTTCAATGTTATGTTAAAGGTTCATTTAGTTCTCCAATTTGACCCTTTCCATTGTTTTCGGTGCTGACCATTAAGTTGATGTTTTGTGTTATAGTTATACTTTTTATTACGACATAAAAAAAGCAATATGTTGATATTTTTTACAATTTCTGCTTTTATGCATGTGTGCCATAACAATTTAATTTTAAATTATGTTTCCATGTGTATCTTAGTAATGCTTGGATTTGAATTTTAACCGTACAAAACATTTTTTTTACTTTTATTGTAAGGTTTATTTAATAATAAAAGTGAATGTTTAATATGTTCTAGACCTCCATGGATACAGATGACATATCGCTGGTAGAAATTGGCCCATCAGATCGTAGCTCTCCTCTTGCAGTAAGTATATGTTACACCATAAAAGTTTCTAGAGTCTAGGTATACAACCTAAAAAACAAGAACAACGAACAGCGCTCTCAAAAGGATGCTAGATGTGGTGAGTGGGGTGTGCAGTATGCTGCTCTAAGAGAAAGAAGGAGAATGCCTGTAAAAATTGCAATGGTAGCACAAGACCGCAATCTCCATATGATTACATAGTATGTGGAGACTGCCAGTCTCTATATGAGGAAACAAGAAAGGACTTACTTGTGAATCCTAGAGGTGTGACAAGAAATGACTCTGGTAAAGGATGTGTATGCAGTACTCCTCACTGTGGATCTGTGACATACAGAGTGGGCATGGTTGCGATCAAGCGATCGTGTTGGGGAGTCAGTGCGGTACTGAAAAGGCTGTAGAGGCAAAGGAGTCCAGGCGGTGGATGGTCAGAACCACTACTCCTTCTGACCGTCCACCGCCCGGACTCCTTTGCCTCTAACACCGCTGTCACAGGGTTCGGATGCCACCTATTTCCATCGGACCCACAGCCCTCTGACTCCATCCACCAGCACATGGCAATCTCTCCGCCAACCAGAGCCGCCTGGTCTGCATAAGAGCCTTTTCAGTACCGCACTGACTCCCTAACACGATCGTTTGATTGCAACCATGCCCACTCCGTATGTCACAGATCCACAGTGAGGAGTACCGCATACACCTTTGTGATCCTTTACCAGAGTAATTTCTTGTCACACCTCTAGGATTCACAAGTAAGTCCTTTCTTGTTTCCTCATATAGAGACTGGCAGTCTCCACATATTAGGTATACAACCTGAAGATTGAGAGCCTAAATGAGCTTCCAAATAAATCTGTGGACGCTCTGGATTGCTAGAACTAATTATAATTTCTAATTCATTTAAAAATATATTTTTGAGACCCTGAACAAAGTGTTTACTATAATTTAGTCATGTACCATGAACATTATACTTGCAGCATCGAAATGCTGCCGTTATTAATAAAGCGTCAACCTTTTCTTAAAACACCTACCACTGTTTCCCCATTAGAAGTTTCTTATTTCCTTATGTACCATAGGTGTATATTATCAGTGGTGGCTACAAATATTACCTATAGTTTATTTTCTGTAACACAAAGTGTGGACAAGGTATAGTAATTCAGCATTGGGGAAAAGATGAACCGCAGGGGGCCCACATGGAATACTGGTGATTACTGCTTTGCCCCTTGTTTCTTTTCTTGGGTACAATTTTTACAGTTCTGGCCCTCTTCAAAAGCACACGTAAACACCCATAAATCAATTTTACAAACTTGATTGCATATTTCAGATTGTTAGATCTGTAATTATTTATTCATTAAAACAAACCACAGTTATGCCATATTGCAGCTTATAGATCTAATTACAAATGTGCTTTTTATACTAACAAACCTTGTTTTCCTATTTCATATTAAAGACAGGTAGAAGTTTAAATGGCCATGGACATAGAAAGGGGGACCCTATCTCCCGTGTAGCTGCATCACGAATACCCAGTATCGTAGTGACCTACAGCAATCACCAAGCCAACCAGGAAGCAGTAGAGCATAACTCTACATTGCCTGGTAACAGGATCAATGGACCAAAACATAATACTACAATTGCCACCATCATTACCGAAACAATACCTGAAAACATGGAAACATCAACAAATCAGTCATCGCCAAAAAAAACATGACGTTTCCTAGAAATGTAATATATATGTTGACTATTCATTGTGCCATAATTTATTCTGGTTACTATACACAGACCATGGAAAAAGGTAGCTAGTTATGTATGTATGGCAAATGTATCATTCTATGCCATCTGTATATTCACCACATGTATTAATCCGTAGTGACTGAGATTCTATGCTGAAACTATAGATTTGCCAGGAATTTCATTTTATGTTTTTGAGAAAGAACTACAAATGTCTTTGATTTTTTAGTTGTTGTGAAAGACAAATTGAAAGAGTAATTAAAATGGCAAAATATAGACCATGTGAAGGAAATTATATGCAGAATGGAACAAAAAATTTAGTTTTCACATAATCATTTCCAATGTTTTAACATTTCATTTGAAATGTGTACATTATTTATGCTGTGCAAACACAATATATTATTAGTATAAAATGCAAATAGTTTCCTACCTATTGAATGTGACATACCAGCAGAATGTTACTGTAATAAAAGTACAATGAAATAAATACTATAGAAATAAAAGAATTTAAAGAACAATTCTGGGGAACATAGAAAAAGCACTTTTTTTTGTTAACTAATATGTTCTCCATTTTCCCAAAAAAGGACAACATTATCATTTTATTTTATGGCAGCAAACTAAAAAAACACGTTCTACTTCTACTGTTTTTTACCTCCTCCTGCTCATGTGATAGCACTCAGACCTGTTGATTGGCTAAATTATTGCAATAAGGAGGAAGCTTACATGCCCCTACAAACAGAGGAGGATGGGGTGTTTACATTGGGTGCACCAAAGGTAAGGGTAAGCACATAGAAGGTGAAGATAAGCGAACCTGTGGAAAAGTCTGACACTGGTACCATAGAATGTCAAATTTTTAAATATGCCTCACTCCTTGTGCTATACAGTCATACAGATAAAAAGGATGGACAAATCAGAAAAAAAAATCTGATTTCTTCATAAATCTCTCAGCATGCAAAGCAATTCATATGCTCTGTGTGAGTTTAAACTATGTAATTAGGTGTTTGGCTGACCAATCCACAACAAACAATTGTAGATTTCTTTCCTAACACTACTGTGGGAGAGGTAGCAACACTCTCAAATATTACCATGGTTCTTTTCAGTTTGTTCCTATAAACAGGGGCAGGGGGCATTAGCACGGGTGACTAGCAGCACACATACGAAAAAGGTATGGACTGCCCTACTTATAAAGTAGTCATGGTTGGCATTATTTGTTTAATTGCTTAGTAGAAAGGTCCAGCATTAAACATTTCTGGTCATGAACTGGCTTATTTGTCAGCAGATATATTATGAAGACTGAAGTAACTCTTGTACGATTAGCAATTTATACCAAGAAAAAATCTGTAGTATCGCTACAGCATCACTTGGGAAAAGGGCATCGCTGTAGCATTGCTTAAGAAAAAGACTCAAAAATGCTGAACATGCCTGTCTTCTTTGGAGTCTAAGATCTCTGATATACTGTATACAAAGAACAGCCAACCAAACTGTTTGAAGATACTATAGAGACATTTCAAAGCATAAAAGTAGATAAAGTAGAAAACTGTATTATTCAGTAAAGGTTTACAAAATCTTAAAAGTGTTTTTTAAAGCTCATTTACAGTTTCAGTACCATTATCAGTTGTTGTAATGCGGTGTTGAGGATTCTAGCCATGGCGTCACTTAGCTCTGGATTTAGAAATATCTTTAATCTCAGAACTTGCAAACCAGTATTCCAGCTCTTTTTTCATTTTGCCCAACATGATTGTCGAAGGAGTGGTATTCAGTGTGAAAAAATACCAATAAGTTGTACCCAAGAACATATACCGTATATTTGTCATTGACACACACTGCATGTTTTATTTTGTCTTGCTTCTCACATTCACAATGGGGATGTATCAGACCCAAAAAATAAATAAGTTAGCTACTTTCCCTAACCTTAACTCAAACCCTTAACTTTAACTTAAAGTCATAAGCTATTGCAAATGCTAATTAATCCACTTACGAAGACATGCTGTTATTTGATGGTTAAAAGTTTCAGCTTTCTGCAGAACCAGCTGGTCCCCTGAGCACTGGCCCCGATTTCCTGTTTAAGGGTAGCTCCTTCCCTTGCAGCGTCCCATGGCACTACCCTCATTTGTGCTAGTAAGCTGGGTGTGTTTTCACAAGCAAAGCCACAGCAAAGCAATCAACTCTCCTGCTCCTAACTCTTCCCTTCCCGAGATAGAAGATGGACGGCTGCTGGAGACTGTGCTCTCCCTTGTGATCCTGTATTTTACAGGAAGTTCAGGAAGGCAGAAGTGAGAGAGTTGGAGCCAGCTCTTCTGAAACAGGATGACTGTAATTGTTTGGGCAAGAATGTCAAGACATACTTTACTAGGTAATGTGTATGTGTTTTATCTTGATTCATTATTTTTTTTAAAGGTTTGAGAGTTTACTACTACTTTAACCCCCAAATGTCAACCTAACCCCCAATCCTAACTATCAAACCCTGATAGAACCCCAGTAATTATATTATCATGATTATCATGCTGAAACAAACCTGTATATATTACTGATTAATGTTTGGCACCAAATACAACAAGTCAAGTTATCATTGATGAAAAACATGCCCGGATGTGTCTCAAGTTATACGGAACATTTAGAAATGGTATTTGTACCCAAGCACCCCAAATACCCTGAAAACTGTCCTTTTTACCACAAATTCTTCCTGAAAAATGAAAGTAATCTTCCTGGTATGTGAGTGTGCCTAGGCATTCCTTTGTCTGCAGCCTCATAAGCTGTATATCTCCAGTGTGCATCTAAGCCTCTAATGGCTCTGAATGCTGGTGTCACCAGATATTGCAGTGAGATTTGATAATGTTACTACTCTCAGTGTCTGTCATGAGGAAGTAAAACCTGTCTCTACCAAGATGGCTGCCTTCAGACAGAGACACAATGGAAAGAAAGGCATGGTAAGTCTGTAATTGATGAAGATCAACTCCAGAAGACTCCAGGCATTACTGATGACTCGTTCCTTGCCTTCTGCCTGCTCTTTATTGGGGCACAGCTTCCAGAGGTTAGTTCTTTTTTAAAAGATAAATTCAGCACACAGTGATAGTCATGCAATTTACCTCCCAATTGTCCGATGTAAATATCTTAATAAAAATGTATTATATCTTAAAAGTCTTTTACTACAATTACTTTTTATCCAACACTTGTTGGTTTAACCAATCACTTTTTGCATTTCAATTATTTGTGATCCGCACCATGGCAAGTTTGGTAGGGGATATGCCCTTTACTTATATACTTTGTAAGATAAGTAGCCATGTGAGATTCGTTCTGTTCCAAATTGAAATTCAGACGAATACCGGCAAATGTGGACATTCAGATGCGTCCAAAATAAAAAACGATCGTATTCAAACTTTCCGATAATGAAATTCAGATGCAACCAAAATGATTTCTGAATATCATTTAGAATGGATTTACGTTGTTAAACGTTAAAAAAAATTATACCAGACCCTCTGGGCTGGTTGGAATTTTAGGGGGGACCCCAATGCCAAAAAAAAAGCACGTGGTCCCCCCTAAAATCACTTACCAGACTCTTGATCCGAGCAGAAGCCTGGCAGAGCAGGAAAGGGGGGTGAGCGTGCACCATACCAGGCCACATACCAGGGGTATGGAGGACCAGAGCTACGAGACAAGGCTACTAAATTTAAACATGTTCACATTGGAGGTGAGGAGATTAAGGGGGGATATGATCTCCATGTAAAAATGTTCAATGGTGGTAGCAACATTAGCGATAAACTGTTTAAAATTACTCCATTACAAAAACTAGAGGCCACCACCTAAAATTGGTGGAAAAAAAATTCCAGCACAAGGGGCGAAGGGGGTTCTTCACAGTAAGATCAGTTAGGGTCTGGAACTCACTGCCACAGGCGGTGATTTCAGCAAATAATGTGGAATTGTTCAAGAAACTTTTGGACGATTTCTCAAGGGACCGTAATATACAGGGGTACAGGTACTCCTAGAATGAGATCCTAATAGGTTGGACTTGATGGACTAATGTCTTAATTCAACCTCAAATACTATGTAACTATGTAAGTATGTAACATGCCCTCCTGCACCATACCAGGCCACATGTCCTCAACATGGGGAGAATGCTTTGTCTGGGGCGTCGCCCTATGTTGAAGAGGACAAGGGCCTCTTCCCCTCAACCCTGGCCCGATGGAATCTAAGTGCCGTCCCGCCCCCGTGAATGAGTAAGGGGATGTTGTTACCACTACTCATTCACCAAATAAACAGTAAAATATTATGTGGATCTACATCGCTGGACGACGTGATTGACCTTTAGATTATGTTGGATGGAAATTTTTTTGTTTTTAATAAAAGATTTGTCAACATTTTTTTCAATAAAGGATTTTTTTTACGGTGTGGTGTGTTTATATACTATTTTACTGTATATGGTGAATGAATAGGGGTAACAACTACCCCTTACTCATTCATGAGGGGGGTGGGATCTAGGTGCCCCCTATGAAGGGGACACCTAGATGCCTATAAATTCACCTGCTCGCAGACCCCTACAACCACTGGGCCAGGGTTGTGGGGAAGAGGCCTTTTTCCTCATCAACATGGGTTCCCCCCGGCAAAGCACCCTCCCCACGTTGAGGGCATGTGACCTGGTATGGTGCAGGATGGGGGGCTGCACATTTGTCCCCCCCTTTCCTGCTCTGCCAGGCTGCTGCTTGGATCAAGTGTCTGGTAAGGGATTTTTGGGAGGACCCCACACTTCCTTATTTTGGGGCTTTGGGGTCCTTCCTAAAATTTCTACCAGACCTAAAGGGTTTGGTATGAATTGGGGGGAGACCCCACACTTTTTCTATTGTCTCTGTGGACTATCAAATGTAATTAAAAAAATAAACAAGTCACTTTTTTTTTCTAATGTCACTTTTCTGCACTGAATTGTTGTTGGAAGATATCGTTTAACTTATCCCAAATTAACAAAAATTGCGGATTCGGACGAAGCCGAATACCGAAACGAATTGACTTTCGGACCTGAATCCCGAAAAATGAAATAACGAAAAATCCAAAACATATTTTTTGCCGATGCACATGTGTTATGATAAGCTGTCCCTTTGTCATATCCCAGAAAGTTGGGAAGTATGTTTAACAATAGGTGTCTTTTATCCAACCACTTTGACTTGCTTTCACTCAGTTGCTTAGCAGACTATGCTCTCACACTGCATGCAGGCCAAGGAACTACAATGCATAGCTAAAGAATACTATAATAAAAGCATACACTAAGATCACATATTTTATTTACACCAGTTGTGCTGAATTAATGCAATAACCCACATGATCTGAGATACCTTTTAAATGGATCAAGTAAGAAAATTACTTCTCTGATTAAAGAGAGAGTTCATAACAAAACAAAAAGGATATGCAAGCATATTTTCATTATCATTCCAAAACATGTACACATAAAAGTGAACAGAATAAAGTACTCAGGTCCCATTAGCAACGATAATAAAATCAAGATATAACACACGCTAACACACATTTAAAATAAAAATAAAGGAGTACAAATATATAAATATTAAGTAAAGCAAATATGTAAGCGTAAGTATAACGCTAGAAATGTGACAGAATAAATGATAAGAATTAGCAACAATTTGTTCACTATAAACAATTAAACATAAGAAGCAGCAGTATGCTTTGTAAAATTGCTGCATTATTGATCCTAAAGTGCAAAATGATTTGTCTCAAATTGCAGCAATGGCCAGAAATAACAATACTAGCAGCAGTCATTCAAGATAACACAGCATTTATCAATCTCACAGCATCAGGGACAAAGATGTTCTTCAGCCTGGTGGTTCTAGCCTTGATGTGTGTAGCCTCCGACCCTAAGATAATGGGACAAACAATCCATTAGCAGGATGGGAAGATTCTCTCACGATTTTGAGGGCAGTTTCCTACAGTTACCTGCTATTGTAAATGTCACTGATAATGGGTAAACTGCTGCCAATAATTCTCTGTGCAACCTTTGCCACCCGATGCAGTGCCTGTCTATCTGCAGAGAAGTTACCGTACCACATAGTAATGCAAGAGGTAAGAATGCTCTCCACCACACACTCTCAGGGTTCCACCCTGACTTTACTGGTTTGCAGCATTCTGGCTTGGCTGCCATTTTACTCACCTGTTTCCTTCCTTGCTTGAGCAGACGCTGGAACGTTGCTCACTACTCACAGGCTCCCTCTTATGGCCAAACAGAGGAGCATCATCTGAGTGAGTCAGACGGGAGTTTCCTGTCTCTGAGTGATGATGTCACCCCACTCACTATATATAAACTACTCATTCCAATCTTACCTTGCCCTAGCGTGGTCTTCCTGCTAGTGCATTCCTGTTGCCCTGAGTAGCCTGATTCTGTGTATGACCAGATCCTGGCTGACATTCTCCTCTGGCACCTGCTCCTGGTTTGTTCCCGACAACGCTGATTTCCTGGCTCCTGCATAGTTCCTGACGATGCTGATCTCTGTGTTGCTGACCTGGCTTGACGACTACCCACTCCAGCTCCTGACTCTGGCTTGTTCCGGTTTAATATTCTGCTTGCTCCTGTGGACACTGTTCTTAATAAATGTTTTAACTAGCACCTTTTGCTTGTCTGGCTTTCATTGTGCTCTGACACACACCTATAAAAAATCTCCAGTGAAGCGTTTCTGTCTATATGCATACAGGTCCCGAAGCTTTCTCTGCAGGCTCCAGGGGCACATTTTCTCTTGCCAAGCAGGTCTCTCTGGTGGTTCTGTCCAGTAGCCCCACACGGCTAGATTGCAGGCCTCCACAGCACTGGTTTCTCTTCAGAAGAGCACACCCCGCACACTTTTACATCATCATTCTGAGACAACACAGAGCACATGCAGCACTGTTTTACCAACAATCCAGTCTTCACTAAGTAAGGAGAGAGTGTGTTTCAGCAACTTTGCCACCCCTGGACACTTCTGGTACTGCAATCCCCCCTACACACACTAGGCCCCTGTTCACACATCTGTAGTGCAACATCATAAGTGTGCCACAGGCAGGGTGTCCCTACAGTTTTTGGTGGCGGGGGGGCATTGGTGGTGCACATTACTGGTGCACATTACTGTTGGGGGCTGGCGGTGTATGTTACCCAGTGGGGGGGAGGACCTCTGGCTCCGGCTCTGTCTGACGTCCAGTCCAGCTCATATGATGGGTAGGTGCATTGGGGTTCCATTAAGAAATTATGACAGTGCAGCACACCTAACGTTGGGACATGTGATCTCATGCAATGTGGGATCACGTATAAAAATATTGCAGTTAACATCAGTGAGGGGAACAATCTACCTCCTTGTTGGCTGTAATTTTGATCTTAGTATTCATCTTATGCAGCTGACTATCTGGCACAATAAAGACCTATGGTATCTATATTTTGAAGTCTTATGACTAAACCTTTAAAAAGACAGCCCTTTCCTTTCCGGGGTTCAAACACTATCATGAAATGTACTCTGAGAGGAAAAAAAATGATGCAGCATGTAATGTGAGACAAAGCAATAGTCCAGGTGATAGTCCTGCCCTTTAGCAAGCAACTGACAAGTCATAACTTCTCTTTTTTTTATAGCCTATATACATCTCCAGTACTCGTACTCATGCTAACTTAATAATTGCGCTGTAAAGTGGGTTCACTTCAGCCAGGATTGAGTTTATACTAGGAGTGGGCAACTTCAGCCCTCCAGCTGTGCTTTAACTACAAATGCCAACATGCTTCTGCCTCTGGGAGTCATGCCTGTAACTGTCAGTCTTGCAATGCCTCATGAGACTTGTAGTTTCTCAACAGCTGAGGGGCCGGAATTGCCCACCCCTGGTCTAGACTGTGCCTTACACTTATTTTGTGGATGCCATAGACGCTGCCCCTGGCTAGACCACTAGTACACCGGACCACTGTAACGGGAACCGCCGACTCCGCTCACCTGGGGCCCGGGGGGGGGCACGGTTCCACCGCTTCTCGCCGCCGGCCATCTGCGTCCCACAGGCTTTAGTTAAAAATGCAGGACAGTCATGTGCATTCCAGAAAGTTGGGAGCTATGCTCCGGTCTCTTTCAATTTATCAAAACTGGAGCAGACAAAATCTGGAGGAGATTTGCATTGCAACCAATCAGCTACTCTCAAAGCTTAGCTGAACAAACTGAAGAGAGAAGCTAATTGGTTGCCATGGGTAACTGCTCTAGATTTTATCTGCTACCCCAACAGTGTTTTCTGGTGTTGAGCACTAGTAGGGCCGATGATAGCATTCGTTCATGTGAGGGCACTCAGGCCTTGCTATTGGCTGCTAGGTCACATGCTCCCCCATCCATATTACATATTTTTGGCATGAGGCACTAAGGCAGCAGAAGGAGCGTTGGGGGAACATTGGCAAGGTGAGTATCAGTGGATTTTAAATGGGTAAAGTGACAGGAGACTGCAGGCTGCATACTGTGGCCCACAGTTTAGGAATGGGCGGGCCACAGTATGGAGTAGTACTGTGAAGTAGCGATGTCACTTCTCAGTTATAAATTAGCTCCTCAGTGTTGAGTTCCAAAATGTTACTAATAAAGTTGTATTGAAAATTAGGTTAAAAAAAATATAATCAATATTAACAGTGTAATGTGACCATGGCATCTAAAAAAATGGTTGAGCTGTCTTTATTTTCAAGGCTGTTGTCTATAAAAGCACAAATGTTGGCTTGGCAAATACGATTGTGGTGTGCTTTTCTGAGGGAAATTGTATTTAGCCAGACCACCATAAGAGGACCACCTGTTCCACCCATTAAAAAAGCTTTGCAAAGGCTTGAGCTGCTGTTATGTCTCTTGGCTTCAGTTAATACGCTCATTCTCTTGTTGTTCTCTGAGGCTCAACAATCCAACTTTTATTATTTTAAAATTTAGGTACTTATCTTTAGCATATTACATTATAATGTTGTATTTATTTATATTTGTAGTATTGCGAACTTTAGAGTCAAGGCTTTATTAAGAATATACAGTAAGCCCGTACTCATAATTAACCTATAGGTTATTCAATCAGGCAGTGCAAAGAACACTAGTGATAAGCTTAGTGTAGTATCTTCCAGCAATCAGAAATCATCTCAGCTGATATGGCTGCAATACACTAAAATTTGTTTGGTTACTATGGGTCACTGGACTTTTCATAACATTAGTACGGTTAGTACTTACTGTATGATTGGATGCTGCTAATTAACATACCTGT